TTTTATGATTCTATGCTCCATCCTGCAGACCGTGTAACCAGGCCACTGGGATCAAGGTCACGCTCTGGGTACCAGCACCTGCACCGCCTTGGGCATCAGGGCTGTGTTAACAGATGAGAGTGTTGCAGGCTGTGCTGTGGAACTCTGTGGCCAACCTCAGGGGATCACACGTTGCCTATGTCTGCTCTGTGAGGTCTTAGGTTGTCTCTTGATGACATGGATGGCCTCCAAGACTCTCCATCCAGCTTGCCTCTTGATAGGTGCATAACAGAGCTGCAGTATTGCAACCCCCAAGTGTTCAAATATCATGAGCTCCACCGGCATGCCAGGTTGCACTGCCATTGACTGAAACAGGCCATCAGGCTCATCCGGCAGTGAGTGCTCTGGAAGATGAAGGAAATTAAAAATTGCTTCAGATTAAATTATGTTCAAGGTGAGGTCTGTACTAGAGATGGGCCTGACCTACAAAATGGAGACCTATGCTTGGGTCTGGATTTTGAACACTACAAAGGTCAAGGGGAGGGGTAGGTAACCTATGGCACGTGCGAAGGCGGCACGTGAGCTGTTTTTCAGTGGCACTCACACTGTCTGGGTCCTGGCCACTGGGCCAGAGGGCTCTGCATTTTAATTTAATTTTAAATGAAGCTTCTTAAACATTTAAAAAAACGTATTTACTTTACATACAACAATAATTTAGTTATATATTATAGACTTATAGAAAGAGACCTTCTAAAAACGTTAAAATGTATTACTGGCACGCGAAAGCTTAAATTAGAGTGAATAAATGAAGACTCGGCACATCACTTCTGAAAGGTTGCCACCCCTGGTCAAGGGTTTTGGCTGGGTTCCTGACAGAGGTGGGTGATCAACCTCAAATGTGGATCTGGATACAGATTTGGATTCCTCACTGCCAGCCTGTCCACTTTCCTCTAGGTCACAGTGGTTCTCAAACTTTTGCATTGGTGACCCCTTTCGCACAGCAAACCTCTAAGTGCAAACCGTCCTTATAAATTAAAAACACAATTTTTAATTTTTAGCACTATTATAAATGCTGGAGGCAAAGTGTGGTTTGGGGGTGGAGGCTGATGGCTTTTGACCCCTCACGGAATAACCTTGTGACCCCCTGCAGGATCACGACCCATCAGTTTTGAGAACCCCAGTCTAGGACCTGTTGCCTCCCTGAGATTCACAGAGTTTCAGGGCTGTTGTAATGAGGCCCCTGAGATTTTTCTTTGTCATTTGCTCGCTCATAATTAGAGGATCAAATTCCATAATTAATGATAAGTTAATTATAAATTGTATGAGCCACTTAAACATTTGAGGATTCAGCTGTTGTGTTGGTGAGCTACTAGCATGTATTTGATGAAATTATGGACAGCAGATGGTGCTATTTGTTTTATTGATATAAGGGCAAGAAATAAAGGAAATTTTCCATCAGAAAATGCCAATTAGTTGAAAGCAAAATGTTTCAGTGGAAACATGGTGATTTTGCCAAAAGTTCATTTAGAAAGAAAAATTGAAATAAAGCATTTCAAATCTTCCATTTCAACCTTTTAGTAATGGAATGTTTTGATTTTCCATTTCAAAATGACTTTTTGTGTCAATTGATTAAAAAATTATGGTATGTAATATAAAATTTTAAATTGAAATTGGAATGAAACATTTTGATTTTATCAAAGCAAGGTATTTCAATCAACCTGAAATGATTTTTTTTTGTTTGAAATTTTTTTCCATTGGAAATTTGAAATGTTTGCTTTCATTTCATTTTGGAATGGGAAAAAATTTCCCTGTCAGAGCTATCTGAAGTTTCAGAAAAGCTGAATCTTCCATGGGTATCTTCTTATTAATATTGGAATTTTAATTATGTATTGTGACACTACAGTTTCATGGCCTACAAGTCCACTGAGTGGTAAACTTGTGCAACCTCTAATCAGCAGCAGACAAATCTCGCTACTCACACAAACTCAAAAGCAGATCTTTCTAGAGCTATTCAGAATTCATGCTTGCTATCTGAAGACCCAAAAAGGCTGACAGACTGCTGTTTACTTTCAGCGACCAAGGAGATGGTGCCACAGATGGTTGCACAAACACTCTAGTACAAACTGTGTTGAGGGTGAGAGGTCCCAAGCAATGGAGGCAGGAGTGGAAAAAGACAGCAGTTTTGAGGAGATCAGTTCAAATTGGAATGAAATCATTTTCAAAATGTTAGAATTTCCCGCAGAACTGGAATTCCAGCTCTAGAAGTCACTTCCTCTTTTACCCTTTTCTTCTATTTTATATGCTTAAAGCTTATAATTTGGTAATATAAATACAGTAGATCAAGCTATATTATTTGATACAGTATCATACGGTGTAATTTTATCACTAGATAAAATAAATCTTAAAGATGTTTAAGTAGCTTTAATTTTCTTATATAGTTTAAGGCATTTTGTATCACCCTCCTTCAGTGTGGAGAAGTTTTGTTGCCTTGGCACCCTGACTACAAAATATTGCAAATAGTTCAGACCATGCCATCTTTTTAAAATAGAAATGTGATCGATATGATATATACAGTCAATCTTTAACAAAGATCTATATACAAGGTATTTGTTTTGTATTAAAGAAGCTGATACGTTCAAATGGTACAGTAAGTTGAAAAGCCAATGTGAAGTGTCAGTCTTTAAGATGAATCATCCAAAATATTATAAGGACTAAGTGACCATAAAGCCTGATTAACTATATGATTAGAGAGACAAGGTGGGTGAGGTAATATCTTCTGTTGGCTGAACTTCTGTTGGTGAGAGAGAGAGAAGCTTTTGAGCTTACATAGTGCTCCTCTGACCACTTCTGTAAAGGGTATGGAACCTACAGGTTTGGTGCCTCAGGGGACACTGCTCACCTACAGGCAGAAAACCAAGCCTTACAGCCACAATGAATCATTTCCAGGTGGAAAACTGCACTTATGAGAACAGATCACAGGACTGCAAGTGGGAATGTCTCCCACAGCCCCACGGCACATGCCACCTTCAAGACCTGAACTCATAGTACCATTATCAGATTGCTACGATGGATTAACCAGGACAGGCTTCCATTTCCTGCTCTGGCCCAAGGCCTACCAGAGGAACCAGAGAGGAGTAGGACTGGTCATCAGCCTTCTAACAGGTCAGGCCCTGTACTGGGTGTTCCCTTTACTACAGCAGGATCACCCCATACTGGCCAGTTGGGACACCTTCCTCTGGCAATCTTTGACAACCCACACCGAGCTTGCATTGCGGAGATGGTCGTTCAGAGACTCCTCCAGGCCTCAGGGTGGGCTGCAAAGTATGCAGCCTGCTTTCAACGGCCTGGAATGAACTGACCCAGCTATGCTAAATTCTGTCTTGATCTCAGCGAGGAAATAAAAGATGAGCTTGCCCCCCTGGTGCCTCCTGTGCATCTAGATGCATTTATTGAGCTCTGTTTCCAAATAGACACCAGACTTAGTGAATAGCAACTTGAGAGGAAAGGGATTCCACCCTGCATCCAGGCACCACACACAACCCGTGCAAAGGCCCCCTTACCCAAGCTCATGCAAGTGGACATGGCATGAACCCAACTGGACCTTTCCAAACAGAACCAACAGCAGCATGAGAACTTGTGTTTTTACTGTGGTGTCACTGGCCACATGGTGTCCATCTGTCCAGCTAAGTCCCTAAACCCTGTGGTTCCAGGGAAATGAACTTGCAACCTCAGGCAACATCGAGAAAACTCCATCAAACCCCCTCCAGCAACCCATTCTGGGTGCCTGGTCCGATACAGGAAATGTCCCCACACCTATAACTTCAATTACAACTCTGGCTCCAGGATTCTAGATAGATACTCTCCCACTCCCCTTCCCCTCAAGAAGCCTTATTCACTCTGGGGTCAACAATAACTTCACGGATACTACTGTGGCTCAAGTACTCAGCCTACCCATACAGACTAAGGCCACCCCTGATTTAGTCGAGACAGTCAATGGATCGCTGCTAGCCTCTGGCTCCATCAGTCAAGAGTTTTGGAGGTGATGGTTGGGGAGCCCTAGGAGCTCCTCCAGTTTAGCCTGATCCGGTCATCACACTTCTCTCTGGTACTTGGAATCCCCTGGTTGGCGAAACATGACCCAGAAATCTCGTGGAGTGAGCAAACTGTGACATTTAATTCTAAGTTTTTCCAGGAGAACTACCTCCAGACTTCCAAGCTCGAGCCTCCAGAACCTCAGGTTCGATGCCTTGCCCGGGCTTTGGAAACAGGGAGAGATGCCTGGGCAACAGAGCAGGCCTCCTTGCT